CGGAGCGCCCTCTGCCGGCTCCGCCTGCCGGGACCGGTGCCCACTCGCAGGGCTTCCACCACCACTCCCGGGGGGCACCCTTCTGTTGGCATGAGGCTTCCTCAGACCTCCCCGCCCCGATCCAGTGTGTGCCCCAGAACACCCTCTTCCCCTCACACTCGAAGCTGGGTGCTAGGCCTTGGGTCCCAATAATGGGCAAAAAGGATGGGGCGTCTTGGCCTCCTGGAGCTTACATGGGAGTGGGCAGAGCCAGATGCTGGATAGATTCCACAAATAAATGAACCATTAAAACGGAACTGCTATGAAGCGATGGCACCTTGGGCCATGAGCTGGTAATTTGCCCTGGTGCCCATGGAGGGGTTTTTATCAGAAAATGCTGCTTAGAGGAAGTAATTCTTATGCTGAGTGGAAAGAGGAAGGGTTAAACAAAGGAGGGGAAAGTGGGTTACAGACCTGCCTGTGCAAAGGCCCTGTGGCAGGTGAAGGAAGCATGGTAAGCGTGAGGCGCTGCAAGGGAGAGTGGGGGGCGGGGCTTGGAAAGTATCCCCAGTACCCCATTCCTCACACACACCCTCTCCTCACCTCTCTTAACACACTGCCTTCACTTCTGCCACACTTGGGCCACCAACCTTTGTCTCCCAAACTGCAGCCCAAGGACCTCCTCCCATATGGCTCCATGCTTCCCCCCAACTCCTAGAGCAGGCTCCTGGGCACCAGGCTGTTCCCCAAGCACAGAATTCTGAGACACATGAGTAGAGGCAGGTGCTGGTTTTATTTGGGACCCGATTTTGGAAGGAGCGGGCCTGGAGTCCTCCTGGCTCAGCATTCAGCTGGCCCTGGTGATACCGCTCACACTGGCACCTTTCACCCCAAGTTGCAGGTCTTGGCCACTGTCCCACCCAGCACACTGGTCTGAGTCTGGAAAGCCTGGGTTCCCCACTCCTCTTCATCTGAGAGGCCTGTTGCATGAGCCCATGGCCACTCCTGTCTCCTGCCAGGAGAGGCCCCCTTCCCTCACTGGGGCATCTTGTGTCCAGCAGAGCTGTGGTGATCTCCCTCCTCTTTAGGGCCTGGGTGTGAGGATGCCAGGCCCAGTGCTAAGGCGGTTTCCTGGCCTCCTTTCTCAGCAGAGAGCTAGCCACGGCCAGGGCCCCGCCCTGCACAAACCGCACAAAGTTGTCCCCCGCCAGCGGCCCCACGGCGTACAGCCCCTCCTGCTGCGTGCTCTGGTAGGTGAAGGGCTCCACGTCGATGGGGTTCCTCTTAGCGCTTAGCGGCTGGTCAGGATCCACAGTGAGGTCGGTGCCTGCCCCAGGGAGGAAGGAGAGGTCGGGGTAGGAGCCAATGAGGACCAGCACCAGCGAGATGCCGAAGACCTTCTGGAGGCCCTTGGGGTCCTGGAACAGGGCCTGGCGGTCCTCGGTGAAGAGGAGCAGCTGGTGCTCGGGGAGGCTGCGGTAGCCCTCGTAGGGGCTGGGCGACAGGATGGACTGCTCCCGCATCATCTGGTGCACTTTGTGGTACTCAGGGTACAGCATCTTGGGCAGCTGGTTGAAGACCAGGCCGGGGTCGTCCACAGGCCGGCGGAAGGCATGGATCACGGGGATGTTGTAGTGGCGGGCATAGAGGACGGCGTCGGCCGCCGACAGCCCTGCGCCGATGATGAGGACAGGGTCCGAGTCTGGAGTCACTGTGCCTGTCCTTGTGGCCACCTCCAGGGCCGACAGCTCATGGTGGACGAAGGGCAGGGTCTCCCCGGGGATGCCCAGCCGGGCCGGGCTGTCCGACGTGCCTGTGGCCAGGACCACATTGCGGGCACACAGGGAGAAGGGCTGCTGGCTCTGGTCCTCGGCAGTCAGGAAGCCGCTCACCTGGAAGAGGGGGCTGGGGTCTTGGGCCTCAGAACCACTGGGCTCAGGGACCCCCCACTCCACAGCTGTGACCACAGCGCCAGACACAAAGTTGTGGCCCAGGCCCTTCTTGTTCACGTAGTCCCTGTAGTAGAGGGCGATGTCCCCAGCCGTGGCGCGGCTATTACGAAGACCTCTAGGGGGAAGAACACGGAAGGGTGAGTGACAGACAGTGGACTGGGGTGGGGGGGCTCGCTCGGGTGGGACAAGGAATGACCAGGCTTACACTGGCCCTGGAGCCGACTAAGGCTGTGCCCCCACTAGCCTCTGGAGCCTCAGTCTCCTCTTCTGTAAAATGGAGCTGATCAGAGTATCTTATTAGGGTGGGGTTGCCTCCAGAGGCAGATGGCCTGGGTTTGTATCCTCACTCCGCCCCTGGTGAGCTGTTTCCTCAAACTCTCTGCCTCAGTTTCCTCACCTCCCCCTCCAGGGCAATCAATGATCGCAGGCCAGTGTGGCTGGTGGTTGAGGTGCAGGCTTGGCATCCTCTCAGCTCCTCCCTGTATCTACCTGTGAGCCCTTAGGGGAGTTATTTTTCTCAACTGTGGACATGTTGTTAGAGATGAACCCCTAACAAGAATCCTAAGTGACACGCCAACACCTCCCCCAGGGCCACTCCAGCCAACCCAGCTCCGAGTCTGCTACTGAAACTAGAACTCTGGAATTGGTTCCTGGGGTTTCTCATTCCCCTTCTCTGCTTTAAATAACTGTCCTAAGAAGATGCTACCTTGGTGTTACTTATAAAAATGGCACAACAGAAGGAATGAAAGCTCCATGACTGGGCAGTGGCTTAGGAACTGGGGAAGCACCTCGAGGGCAGGGAGAGCATCTGTCTGGTTTTTTTACTCCACCATCTAAGCACAAGGCCCTGCACATAGGAAGTATTCAGTGGAGATGCTTCCACTCCCTGGGGAATATTACGTGGCCATGTAAAAGGATGGCTGCAAATGCAGTGATTGCCACATGAAAATCTATGATATAATGTTAAATTTTAAAAGTGGGAAATGAAAGTATGTCTACAAGTGAAATTTAAGTTCCTGTCTCTTAAGACATCACTATGTGTTGGATGTTTTCCTACCAATTCTGCAGGGACAAAATGTCAAAAAGAGACAGACAGTGAATCCTAGACAGGCGGGGTGCCTGCTGGGTGAGAGTGCTGTGTCCTCGGTGACAGCAGTAGGTAGAAGTGTGGGGTTGGGGTGAGCTGGCTTTCCTTTTCAGTTTTCTATAGTGTGGTTGTGCTCTTAATGCAAGAGCATTAAAAATAATAATAAATAAAGGACGTGTATCCTTTTAGCTGACTTAGAAGGAAAGAGATTGTTCCAGGCCAGGCTCAGAATTGTGGAAGGGGCAACAGGGAGGCCAGAGGGCTGGGGAACATGGGGCAAGGTGTGGGGGCAGGGGACAGCTGTCGCCCCCCTCTTTGGAGGCTGGGATGCTATAGGAAGGACAAGTCAGGGGGTCATGTGAGAGGGGAAGAGAGCACTGGACAAGGAGGCCTGGGGTGAACCCAGCTCTGCTGATCACTTCCTGTGTGGTTCTGCACAAGTCCCTCCCCCGTTGGAGCCTCAGTCTCCTCCCTAAAACACACACACCCTGGCGTAAGGGGAGGGCAAACTAGATAATCTGTGAAGCCCCTTTACCTGGGGCTCCTGGGCTCAATGTGGGGGGCGGGCCTGCGCTTTCCAGGGCTGCCTCACCTTCGCTTCCTACGCATCCAGTCCTTGACCTCCAGGTCCGGGAGCCCCATCCACTGGCCTTGGCTCAGGGTCACCATGGAGCCTTCAATGGACTGTGTGGAAAAGGGGTCCTTTGGTCCAGGCCTCTGCCAGCCCCCAACCCTCTTGGGCTAGAGGACACGGGAGGCCTGAGCTCACTCAGAGAAAGGGGAGAGGGAGAGAGAGGGTGAGGAGGGGAAGAGGGAAAGGCAATCAGAAAACTGGGAAACGAAACAGCCCTAACCCTGAGTTAGGGAGGGTCTCCCCAGGATTCATGTAGATTTGGCCCAAATCCCCTTGCACCCCTCCTGGTCCCACTTACATGCCAGGCTCCCCCAGGCAGGTTCCGGCCCAGGACCACGTGGGGGATGGCTCTCTCCTTCTGGAGCTTCCAGGTGAGGACGGATTCCATGTTTCCCCCAAAGTCTGTGTCTGGGCGCAGGAGGGCATCAAAGAGCAGGGCCACAGGGCTTTGGCACCGGCCTTCGAGGCCTTCAGACAGGTAATCCAGGTCCTAGGAGGGGGTGGCATAGGTCAGAGGGGTCACCAGAGGAAGGTTGCCCAGTTCTGCATTCCCACTATAGTATCAGGGTGGTCAGATAAGCTGGGAAATGCTGCCTCTCAGGACATAATACACAATGGTATAATAAAGGCTCTGACAAGTCCTGCAGCTATCATTTATCTGTTTAATTTTGCCAAATCCAGTGTCTCTCAGATATACAGGAGTAGGAAAATTCTCTCTGCTTATTATACTGAGGAACTAGTATTCTATAGAAAGCATTCTGGAAAATGCTGATCTAGAACAAATGCTGGCTTAGTTCCTCATCCGCCAACTCGAGGGGGGGTTGGTAGCCTGGAAAATGGATGCTGCCTGAAGGGGGAGGTGGACGATGAGTGACCTCCAGGAAGGGGCAGGGAGCAAGGAGGGAAACTCTGTAAGCCCTGCTGGACAGGAGGCAATAGAACTGGAAAACTTAGGGAGAGTTTTTCAGCCCTGGCACTCCTGACACTTGGGCTGGATCATTCTTTGTGGTTGGCGCTGTCCTATGCATTGTAGGATGTCTAACAGCATCCCCGGCCTCCACCCCCTAAGCCAGTAGTAGCATCCCTCCAGTTGTGACAACTGACATTGTCTACAGATATTGCCAAGTGTCCCCTGGAGAGCAAAATTGTCTGCAGTTCAGGACCAATGGTCTAGGGGAGGTGAAACAAGCTGATGTGGCATTTGCAGGTCTCATGGCTGATTTTGTGGCCTCTCATGTTCTGTGTTCGGGCTTGTGTCTAACAAATGCATAATTCACTTTTTGCCCTGGGAAAACTGGGAGTTTCTCCAGAGGGGTACACCCCACCCCCACCCCGGAGCTCTGGCCCACCTGGTCCAGGATGGAGACCCCTGGTGCCTCGGAGAGCTTCCTCTGCAGCAGGGGATGTGGGTGGACGGCACCCTGCTTCACGTAGGGGGTGTAGCCAGAGAGCAGGTAGGACAAACAGATGCCGGAGGGCCCATTGCCTGGGGAGAGAGGGCGGGGTCAGAGGGCAGAGCTTTGGGGTGGAAGATATCACTGCTGGCTAGGGCTTGGTCTGATCTGACTTGTTTATTGAATTACTCTTAATGAACAGTTGTTGCGAGCCTACTAGGTGCCAGGAGCTGTACTATTTAAGCAACAATAAAGTTGTGGTGATAGCTGCTGACATTTACTCAGTGCTTACTGGATAATAATTTAGTAATAAAATAATAAAAAACTGACAGAAGCTGCTGCTATACCAGGCCCTTGAAGGGCCTGTATTATTCCACTGAGCCCTCCCAATGCCTTCAGCGAGGTACATGCTACTCTTTTCCTCCTTTTATACTGAAGGAAGCTGGGGCACAGAGATGTTAATTAACTTGCCTGTGGTCACACAGCAACACCACTGAGAGTCTGAGATAACGAAGAACTAGTCCTGACCTTCCAGAGCTGACAGTCTGGTTGGTCAGGTGGACGAGTGAAATATTATAGTACAGATTTCTACATGCTTGGGGACGGGGTGAGCTTCGGGGATCCTGGATGCTCAGGAGGGGTGCTAAGCCATCCGTGGCCTCCTGCCCCCAAATCTGAATGAATTGCACAGCTTATCTGTGGCATTCCTTAGGCAATTAACGTCCTGATGTGGCTTCTATTCTTATCTTCCCCCCTCTTTGTGATCTTGTGCTACATATAGTACCCATACATAGAACACTATGAAAGGACCAACCGCATGAACTTGCTGATGCTCAACTGGTTGGACTTACAGAAAAAACGAGCACATTTCCTGTGGCTCAGCCTGATGTTTGCATGGGGGGTGATCTGTCCCCCATTTTTGCAGACCTGAGGACAGGACCACATGTTTCAGTGTGCACCCCCTCACTCGGCACCCAGCATGGTGCCAGGTACAGGGAGAGCACAGGACCCCAAGACTTAGGACCAGACACCCACCCCTCTGCTGCTCTGGCCTCAAGGGACCTTAGAAGGATTACGTGGAATGATATTGCATAAATTGAAAGCATAGCACTGGGCACACAGTGAATGCTCAGTGATCAATGTTAAAGACAACAATTGTAAAAATAAATAAAGTACTTTAAAAAGGCCAGGTCTGGCCCTGCCTGGCTCCTGACCTCTGACCCTTGGGGCACCCTGGAGAGCTCAGTGCAGCCCCTCCCCTGCCAGGGCAGCACTCACCGACAATGATGACCTTGAGGGGCTCTGAGCTGCTGGCACCGAGGTGGTCCTTCCTCCAGTTGCTCATGGCTGCAGCTGGTGGGGGGCTTGGCACTGGCAGCTGACCTGCAGGCACAGGGAAGGAAGGGTGAGCCTTGGGTGTCATGTGGTCCCTTCCCACGGGTAGTATAGGGTGTCCTCCCGCTGCCCTCCGGGTTGAGTCCAAGGTCCTCCCTGAGGCACGTAAAGACGCCACTCTGCTCTCTCCTTGCTTCCTCATACCTGCTCCGTTCCAGTCAGGCCCTTCCCCCTCCCCTAGTTCTGCAGGGTCCCCAGCCTGGTCACCTGTCTCTCTGAGCCTCAATCCACTCTCCCCATCTCACCAGTGGGGCAGTAACAATACCCGAAGCCTATTACCCACCTTCCAGGAGGCCTCCTCTGCCCAGCCTGTAGGGCAGTCCCTGCCCAGCCCTTCTGTGCCGGCCATAGTGCCAGCCTGCAATCTACCGTCAGTTCTTGGGTGTAGTCTGGTGAACTTTGGAGCCATCACCCTGCCTTAGCAAGGTGCTTCCTAGCCAGTGACCATGGGCCCATTTTGGGTCTTCCCTGGGGTTCAGTTTCCTCATCTGTAAAATGGGACTAGTGTACGGCTGTTGGGGACACGTTGAGATCGTGCATGCGAAGCACCTGCTTGCAGCAAATCTGCCACTAGGGAAAGACCTGAGCTCATTGCCTGTCCTAGGAGCTGAGCCAGAACATGGGGACTTGGGGGAACTTTGGAAGCCTGGAGTGATTTGTTTTGGGGAACATGCCTATAAACCAGCTCATTTCTGGAGCATCAGCACCCCCTGCTGGCCACAGGCCAAAATCACTCAAAGGGACCCAAATCTCCTTAGGACTGTAGGTGCAAGAGAGTCTGCACCCACCTTCTCCACATCCCCCAACCCCTTGAACAGGGCCCTGCCTTACCCACTGTCCGTAGCCCTGACGTCCTGAGGGCCACAAGCAACACTCATGTGAGTGTGAGGATCGGGTAGGCGTTTACACTTGCTGTCTACTGGGCATTTAACACACTTTTTTCAAGCCCTCATCACACTGACCACATGCAGAAAGTACAGTCAATGCTGCTATCACATTTAACAGACGTGTCAATAAGGGCTTAGGCTGGACAAGTTTCAGTGGCATGCGGCAGAATTTTAAACCCAGGGCTAACTGTTGCCACTCAGCCTGTCCCCAGGTAAGACCCAAGGTGCCTCACCTCAGCTGGGAACGAGGGCCATGGGGAGCCTCCCTCTCTGGTCTGGGTGAGCCTCCTGCCCCCCCCGCGTCTCCCTGGGGAGACAGAAGGTGGCATCCAGCTGACATCATGGTGCACGGTCTCCACACCTGGTTCCTGCAGGGGCCTGTGCTGTGTGCCCGAGGAGAGAATGTGGGGTGCGCCACCACCACTTTCAAAACAGCAGGCTAACATCTCTGTCGGTGGAGTTGGCTAGGTGCCAAGTATGTTCTAAACACTATGGACATTAACTAATTTGATTTCTATTTAACTAGGCTGTTATAAGTACTCTTACAATCACTCCCATGTTACAGATAGGGAAACTGAGGCCCAGCAAGCTGCTTACAGCCCTGTACGGTGTATGAGGAGTTTTGCCCTGGCTTGCACAAGCTGGATTGAGCCCAGGCCACTTTTTTCCAGAGTGCAGTGTGGCAAGGTGTGACAGCTCCTGCCAGAGGCCCCTCCCAGCGCAGCTGAAGGTATAGCATGCGCATCTGTCCCTGCTTGCCCTACTGCTCTGTCCTAGCGCTGGTGCTGGGGAGGGAGGCCAGGGGCCCATGTTCCCAGCTGGGAGGTTTCTCAGTTACCACCAGGAGAATAGGACTGTGGTTCCCTGAGTTCTTTCTCTCACTTTCTCCTGGGACCTTCAAATAGCCCCTACCCCCAGGAACAACAGCAAAGGGGATGCATGTGACGTCCTTGCTAAATGCTCCCAATGCATTAGCTCCTTCAATCCTCATGGTAACCCACTTTACAGATGAGAAAACTGAGGCTTGGGGAGGTGAAGCTACATCCTCAAGGTCCCAGAGCCAGTGGGTGATAGAATTAGAGTTTAATTCTCATGCCCTGAGATCACCTAGACACCCATATCCCCCCAAATGAGTATGCCAACCTGCTCCTAGCGCCCCTGGCATGCCCACCCCAGGCACCCCCTCACCTCCTTTGTCTCTTTGAATCCTCTGATCACAAGTGAGGAGTTGATGGCCCCTTGTCATGCTTCACAGGAGGTGCAGGCACCCCATTACCATCAGAGCTTTGGACTCCAAGTCCAGTGCTCACTCCCAGAAGCTTTTGGATGTCACAGACGGGAGGTCACCGCCCAGGGCTGACCGGAAAGGCCATTTCCTGTGCAGTGATACAGACATCTCAAAGTCCTGCACAGCTTAAAGCTCTCATAACCTCGGAGGAAGGCACACTGCCAGCTCACAACAGATCATCTGCAAGTTTTACTGTTTTCTTTTCCGCTCCTTAGTTTTGTGGAGCTAAAGCAGTTAGTTTTTAATGTTAACTTTTTGTTTAAGTCCCTCTAGTTGAAGAGAGCAAATGTCATTTAAAAGAAGTTAACATTAAGAACTTATTCAAATTCACAAAAGCAGATAAGCATAAACACAATGGAAATAATTGCACTTTCAAAGTGTTTCCTTTGTTTGTAGTGTTGGCACTTCTGAGGTCATTTAGCTTCAAGCTGCCCTTAGTCTCTGGGACACCTGCATGGCTGCATGTATTGAGCGCCTCTGGTGGCCCTTAGCTCCGGTGACTTCGACCCACATGACAGCAGCTCCTCCAGGTGGGTTTTCTTAACCAGGGAGAGGATTGGAGGGCAGGATGAAGGTGGTTGCTTGCCTGGGTTGCCCAGGAATGTCAAAGATCATGCCCACAAGCACAAATCCAGCCCCTTGACACCTGTCAGTGCCACCAAAGAGGTGACATGAGGCTGTGGCAGGGGGAGAATGAAGAGGAGCTCTGTCAACTGAGCCTCCCTGACCTGGAGCCCCAAGAGCTCTGAGGTTCCCCAGACTCCCTGATCTCAGCACCCCAGCCTTTGGCAAGAAGTCAAGTCCCTGGGATCCGTGAGGTGGGGCTGTGCTTGGGCACAGGGGTGGGGGCTGGGGGGCTCTGCCCCACTTGAACAGGACAGGCAGGACCCCCAAGGGAAGCACCCAGTCTGGCTTCAAAACCCAATGGCCTCAAGACCCTGGGCAGCGGGCCTGGAGTTGGCCACACCTCTCTCTTTCCTGCCAAGAGCAGCATCACATGGGCAGGGTGAGCTCCAACCGCGGGCAGCTGGGCAGTCGTCCGGCTGAGGTTGCCAGGCACCTGGAGATGGGCACAGCCAGGAAGAGGAACCTGGCAGTGGGGGGAGAATCATGCCGACGGGGCCTCCTCTCAGGACCACCTGGGAGCTCCCTTGCCTGGCTCCAGGGCCCTGCTGGCCACCCCTGCCCAGGCCATACCACCGTGTCCCACCCCCATGCCTTGCCCAGCCCACTCACCTGACCTTCGGGGGTCGGGGGACAAGGGAGACCCGTGAGCCTGGCCTGGTAGACACTCAGAGCCCGCCGAGCGAGGCCGCCCATTACCCCTTGGGGATCCTAGAGGCTGTGAGAGGCCAGGGCACGGCTGGGTATTTCAAGGGTTGGGAAGAGGCGGGCGGTGGGCGGGGCCAGGAAAATCACTTTCATAAGCGTGAGTCAGCAGGGCCCCCTGGATGAATGAACTTGGCAGTCACCCTGCCTGCCCCAGGGCCAGCCTTAAAGGGGTCCCCCACAGGGCGGCCTGTGTGGCAGAGGGACTCGGGGTGACCCCACCCATGGGGCTCAGTTAGTGAATGGAAGAACCAGGGACCCCTGAACGGGCCAACCTGGCCTTTCCCCTTAGCGGGGAGGACACATCTGCCCAGCGTAGAGGCTGCACCTTTAAGCGGAGAAGGAGTTCCGTTCCCTCACCCCACCTGGCTCCACTGGTGTCTCCACTCTGTCCCCGAGCCCCCCAGAAATGCCCTCCGGCGCCAAGCGGCCCAGGCTAAGAACCCAGCTCTGCCACTTCCTGGGCAAGCTGCCTCAGCTTCCTCATCTGGAAAATGGGGCCAAGGAACAGCGTTGCACTTGGGGTGGGAGTGGCATTTAAATGACCTCATGCTTGGTTACCGGCCTAAAACATGAAGCCTGCTCCCCGGGTCTACCCTTTTTTCTGCAGTATCTTTTTTCCTTAGCATGTAGCAGGGCACACATCACATTTTGCTGATTCTTACTTATTTTATTGTCTCTCCCCCAGACCAGGATGTGAGTTCTGTGTGGGTAGGGAAGTGTAACTGTGTTTTCTCTCGTGTCTCGAAGAGTGCTCAGCACACAGTAGGTGCTTCAGAAGGAAGGCAGGGATGGAGCTGGGATGGTATTTGGCCCATGGACCTCAGTGCTTGTATACGGGCTGTTACTTTCATTACCCATGTGATTGTCCCCCGTGTGTCATTCTCTTATTTGGGGACTTCCCTGCTGGGGCCCGTGGGTGGCAAGTGGAGCACTCACCTTGCATGTAAAACTTAAGGGGGTGCCCAAAACCCTGAGAGATCAAGAAAATGTGAAGATAATTTTTAAAAAAATCAAAATTAATTTTAAAAAAATTCTAGGATAAACAAATATTAAAATTTCAAATGAAGACAGTGTCTGTAACAGAGCTGTGCTGAGCCACAGGGAAGCCTGACACAGAAAATCAGAACACGGGTGCTGTCTTTGTTTAGAACTTTACTATTTTACTCACCCTGGATTTTGGCATTACTTTTGATTTTTAAAAATAATGCATGAGGCCCTGGTTAGTGTTCTCAGTGGTTAGAGTGTCGGCCTGTGCACCAAAGGGTCTCTGATTCGTGACAACCCCCCATCACCGTGAGGGTGCATGTGGGAGGCAACCAGTCCACATGTCCTTCTCACACAGATGTTTCTCTCTCCTCCCTCCCTCCTTCCCTTCTACTTTCTCTGAAAGCAGTGGAAAAAATATCCTCCGGTGAGGATTAACAAAAAAATATATATATTGCATGAACGTGTGCCTTGATTATTGGAGTGCCTTGGTGCCCCTTGCATTTTGTGCCAGAGGTCATCTCTCTCTCCTAGTCCTGGCGCTCGTGGTCACAGGGCACCATGTCCGACTGCAGGGCTCTTTTGGGGACAGTGGGTGGGGCATCTCTAAGGATGCAGAGACCTGCTGGGACCTGCAGAGAGAGAGAGAGTGCTCTAGCGGAGTGGGGTGCTGGCACAGGGAAGGGATGGCGGACAGGGGTGAGCTCACAGAGGTTTTGGGGGCAGCATGAGCTGCTGGGGTGAGAAGGGTGGTCCAGGGCTTAGGGAAGAGGTCAGGCACCGCTGGGCTCACGGCCAAGGGTCTCAGAGGCTGGGGAGGTGAGAGGGAAGGTGGCCAGCACAGAGCCAGGACTAACCTGGGCCCCACTCTTCTCCTGCCCTGTCCCCTGGGAGCTCCTAGGTATGTACCTTTTGTCCAGGAACCTCACCCTCAAAAGGGCCCTGCACTTGGTTTAATGCTCTGCTGTCATCACCTTAAAATCCTTAATATTTTTTAAACAATTGGTCTCACATTTTCATTTTGCTCTGGGCCCCACAAATCACATGACTGGTCCAGGATGGGCAGCCTCTGGCGTGCGTCAGGTGTGGTGGGTGGGAGTCAGGTGAGCTCGGGTGAGGCACCGCCTCCTTGGAGCCTCGTGTTATCCAGGGGAAAATGGCACTCACAGTCCTTTCCTCCCGGGGTCCTGGGAAGCAGTGATCCCTGGGTTCATGTAGCGTGTCGGGGTGGGGTGGGGGCAGAGGGAAGCCCTCTGCTCCAGGCCTCACCTCTGCTGGGGTGTGCTGTGTGACCTTGAGCTGGTGGTCTACCTCTCTGGGGCTCTGTTCCAGCCATGGCCTTGTTACCAACTCTCTTTGACACTCTGAACCCACACCCTACACAGACCAGGATTAGTGGGGGTTCTGACCACATGGGGAGCCCTGTGGAAGTCAGGAGTGCAGCTTAGGGACATACCTCTTGTGCAGGCTTCATCTTTCCCCAGTAGCCGCCTTGTGGGCTTCACTTCCCCATCCCAGGGTTCTGGTTGGCAACTTCCCAGTGCTTTAGATGTGTAAACTGAGGCAAAGAGAGACATCCCAGGGTCAGAGACTCCCATTGGAAGGGGAGGTTGAGGCTTCGGGAAGCCTGGGGATGGAGGTCCAGAGGGGAGAACCCAGGAAGGAGAGGGCTCCTGGGATCCTCATCTCCTGGGTCTGGCCCGGTATTTTCTCCCAAACCTGCCCTGCCACCCCCACTGACCCTGACTCATTTTCCGGATTTTGAAAATTTGCTGATATGGAGAATTGTGGGTGAGATGTGGACTTTCTTCCCTGTCACCTGTTTACTGGCCAGGAGATTAGCAGAAATAGAATGTGTTGAATTCCAGGAAATCTTGACTAAGACAAAGACAGATAATGTCACAGGCAGACAAAGGATGATGGTTACAGAGGGGGCCACAGAGAGGGAGGGAGTAAGACGGGTCCTTTGCAAGATGATTTTGGGAGAACCTGTGCTCTTGGACTCCTCTGGGTGCCCCAATTCCTCTAGACCAGCCCTGTCCCCTTCTCCACCGTGAGTTCAAGTGGCTATTAAGCACCTGAAATGTGAGCCTCTAAATTCAGATGTGATGAAAGTAGGGTGGCAGATGCAGTAAATAAAACACAGGGGCCCAGGTAACTTGGAATTTCAGATAAACAAGAAATAAACTTTTGGTATGAGTATGTCCCATGCAATATTTGAGATATACTTACACTAAAATTTTTTTTCATTATTTATCTGAAATCCCAAGTTACCTGGGCAGCCTGTATTTTATTTGGCAATCTAGCTGTGTTAATACACACTAGATTTCAAAGAGTTAGTATGAGAGCCTGGCCAGTGTGACTCAGTGGTTGAGCACTGACCTACGATCCAGGAGATCGTGGTTCGATTCCCGATCAGGGCACATGCCCGGGTTGTGGGCTCCATCCCCAGTTGGGGGTGTGCAGGAGGCAGCCAATCAATGACTCTCTCATCATTGATGTTCCTATCTCTCTCTCTCTCTCTTCCTCTCTCTAAAATTAGTAAAGATATATTTTAAAAAAAGAGAGAGAAGGTAAAAATATCTCATTAATAGCTTTTACATGGATCACATGTTGAAATGAAAATATTTTTATTTTATTTTTTGTTGTTCCACTTATTTATGCATTAATTGGTTGCTTCTTTTTCAAAAAATTTGTTATTGTTGAGAGTATTAGGAACACCCCCTCATTTCCCCCCTGAAAATTTTTTAGACATCTTGGCTTAGATAAGATATATTATCACGATGGACGTCATCCATTTCTTTTCCTTTGTTTAGCGCAGCTACTGGGATATTTATTTACACATTCCACTCTCATTAGGTTTCCACAGGACGTTGGCACCGGCGGCTGGCTGCTTGTGCAGATTGGGACATGCCCAGGGTTAGCACTGAAAACCCTGCCCCGTGTTCCAGGAAGCCCCTCAGTCCTGAGTGACCTGAACGGTTGGTCACACAGGAGCACTGCAAGGGGCCGGGCAGTGTGACTTGGGAGAGCTGCTTCCCTTCTGAGCCTCAGTTGCCCTATCTGTGCACTGGTATTGCCATTGTGGGGCTTGCAAGGTGGTGACAGCTGATCAGCGCAGCTGAGGGAAGGGACCAGCACGTGGTGTGGGGGGAGCTCAGCCTCGGCATGGCCGCCCCCTCCCCACACCCTCCAGGCCTCCTCCAAGCCTCCTGCAGGTGCCCGGGAGCTGGGGAGCAGTGGAGGAGAGGTAGGGTAGCCTCAGGGTGCTTCTCTAGGCGTCCTCTGGCCCCATATCAAAACCACCTTTCCTCTCTCCTAAGAAACCCCGGAGCATTCCAAGGAACCACGCCAGCCCCCTCCTCCCTCCTGTTCTCGTCTCTTCTCCCTCGCGGTGGCTCGCACACCTCTGCCACTTGCTGGGCACCTCCAGGAGCTGGGCGCTGTGGACAGAGGTTTCCTTACACACAGCTGGGGCTCAGGAACCAGTCTTGAGCCTGAGGTCACACAGCATGAGCAGCAGTGCTGGGGCTCGAACCCAGAGCCGCTGCCGAAGACTCCAGGAACCTCCAGAAAAAGGCAGACAAGGAACTAACAAAGGCACAAAGCTCCATCCTGTCTCAGGTGCAACGGCGCCCCCCAGGGACTCTCCTGAAGGGCCCACCTATCCCCGTGGCCACCCCTTTACGAGGTGCCTGCACAGGAAGGCTTTTCAGGGACCCATACATCTGATCCGTACCCCAGTTCAGTGAGAAAGGCACGGTGTTCTTATCCCCCCATCCACAAGTGAGGAAACTGAGGCCCTGAGAGTGCAAGATGTGGCCTCAAGTCACGTTACGTGGGTGACCTGGGACCGTGACCAGGCTCCGCACAGCATCCTGGCCTCACGAGACCGGGCCCTTCCAGGGCACGACGGGAGAACTAATATTTGCCCTGTGCCTTGCCGCTCACAGGGCCTTGCTACTCGTCTTATCTCATTGATCTTCCTGACAGCGGAGAGTGGGCAAATATTTTCAATATCAAGTTTAGTTTGCAGATGAAGAAACTGGAGGGACTTGGCCAAGGCCACATGGCAATGAGGTGGGACTGGAGATGCAGACTTTAGCCTGCCCGTGCACGCAGCTCCAGGACAGTGGTGTGAGCTGCCAGGGTTCAGCAGGGCCTCGTGTCTCAGGGAGTCACCGCAGACGCCGGGGAGGCAGTGTCAATGCTGGGGCAGGCCTGTGCCCTGCCTCCCTCCCTCCCCACCCAGGGGGAGACTGGGGAGGTCAGGGGGTAGAGGGGGAGTGTGGGGTAGGCCTGGGAGGAGCGTCTGCACAGGGGTGAGTTTGGGGAGACTCCAGCCACATTCTCCTGTTTCTGGATTCCCTCGTTTTTTTCTTAAAAACCAGGGGAAAGCTTTTGCTGAGAGTGTACCTGTCCCACAGTCAGATGGACAAGAGTCTAGCCAGGGGTGTAAAAAGCATCCACTTTCAAGTCAGACAGACTGGGATTCTAGCTCCATCACCTTCAGCTTTGTGACTCTGGGCAAGTGACTTAACCTCTCTGAGCTTCCATTTTCTTATACGAGGTACAGATAATGGCAGAGCAGTGCTTCTCATCCCAGCTGCACACACAATCACTTGGGGGAGAATGTGAAGATACATTAACTCCCAGGCTTCGGTCCCAGAGATTTTGACATCACTGGTCTGGGATGCGGGTGGACATGGGGTTTCACTGGCAATTCCCATGTGCAGGGGGCTGGGAGCCTCTGTTCTTGTGACTGTTGGAAGATGAACTGAGATACAGGGAGAAACCCATGGGCCATGGCGGTGCCCAGTACATGAGCCCCTTCCACTGCAGTGGCCCTTCTCTTTGTAAACCACATTCTCGATGCTGCTGCAGGTACAGCCACGAGGTCTAACAGAGAAATGTCTCCAGAAGAGCCAGGCCAGACCACCAGGCCTGCCCCTGCAGGCCTGACGGGGGTCCCGTGAGAGGCCCAACGAACCATCCACTCCACCAACTGGGCGACTGAAACCCGTTCAGTAAATGTGGTGGATGCTCAGGCAGGACTATTCTGCAGCCTTTGGAAATGGCAGTGGCAGGGTGTCAAGGTGGAAACGCTTTATGATGGAAATGAGGGAAGCAGACTGTGAAGTTATGGGATGCTGTGCTTGATGTGTGGACCTGTGGGCAGGATCTGGAATTAGGAAAAAACTAGAATGATTGCCGGGGCCCAGGAATCTTAGATGGGTTTTTAAAATTCTAATTTCCATTATCTTTGTATAATAAACAATCATCATCATCATAAGTAAAAACAATCTGAGACACGGATTTTCTGTGTCCTGTTGGTTCACTGATGTATCGCCGATGCCTAGCCTAGTGCCTAGGACTCATCAAATATTACTTGAATGAATGAATCACTCTTGTTGCTTTCAGACTTCCCCGATAGACACTGAAAACATTTTTCACCATGAATGGCCCCGTCTTGGCTCTTTATCATATGCATATGGATTGGCATGCCTTCCATATATTTAAATCTTTGATGACAATTTTGAATCGGTCGAGGTCGAAGACAGAGCCCTTTCCTGGACCTGTGATTCCTCCAAGGGCTGGTCCCAGGCCACTCAGTACTCTGAGGTGGTTTTGCAGCATGAGCAGGCCTGCAGGCTCCGGGCTGCCAGGGCGTGTCTGATCAGCCTCTGCTTCCAGGCCCTTCTAAGAGGTATGTAGTCTTTTCTACTCCAAGTTCATTGCCCTCAACAGAGAGGCCAGGAGCAGCCCTGGGGCTGCTGACCTACTTTTTCTTTGGCATGTGACTGTTGCCCCTTGGCCTCAGGAGGCGGGGCATTGCTTTGTTTATTTGCCTTAAGTTCTGCTAAAAAAAGAGCACTGTTTGCCGCTATTACCCAGTTTCACAAACCCAGGCCTTGACTTTTTGGGCAGGTAGGGTCAGGGTCTCGGTGAGCTAATTTAGTGTCCGGTAAGCTAGACCTTTCCCCAGCGACATGACAGGAGACCAGCGCCAGTGGGGAAGAGCACCTGTCCAGCAGTGAAGTCCTGAGCAGAGGGCTTTGGAGAGGTTTTGGGTCCTATGGACATGGGCAGCAGGATTCCAGGGCCCCGCCCTTTTCTACAGAGGCCCTATGTGCCTCCAGAGTCTCTTACAAACTTGCAAACAGCAAAGCAAACCCTGCACTCCCTGCTGGACCACCTCCAGGGGCTCCCGACTGCCCTCAGGCTGACCTGAAGGGCCTCCTCATGGGCGCCCTCCCGACATCCTGTGTGGGCCTCACGCCCGCCTGTGGGGGAGCAGTGCTGCTCCTCCATGGAGCCCCGCAGCGCTGGGCGGCCGCACCCTCCCGGGCGGTGACTTCCCCCTTTGGGTTTTGACTCTGGAGCTGCCTGGGCCACAGGCAGACCCCGTGAGGACCTTGCAAAGCAGCTTAGAGGCTCCACTGGCTCGGGGCCAAGGTGACAGGGCAGGCGCCCAGGGAGGGAGGGAGGACTGGGACAGCCGGCAGGGAGCGGGTGAGCGGGAGAGCAGAGACGGGGAAAGGGCAATCACGAAAACTA